GTATTTGTAGTAGAGACAGGGTTTCATCATGTTGGTCAGGCTGGTCTCGAACTTCTGCCTCAGCCTCCTAAAGTGCTGAGATTACAGGTGTGAGCTACTGCTTTTTTTTTTTTTTTAAGGAACTGTTTTTTTGTTTGTTTATAAACTCTGAACACAAGTTAACCTTCCTAACCTTTCTTTGGAAGAATTATTACCCAAATATTTACCCAAAGGAGCTGACATTGGCAAGTTTCAAAAGACAATAACTTGAAATAACATCGTTGACTTCCATTTTTTAACTTTTTCTTAACAGAAATTACTTTAGGATACATTCAAATAGTTAGAAGAGCTATTTTAAGTAGCTTACAAAATTAAAAACCAAACAAGGATCAAAATCTAAGGCAAACAGGAAGTGTGGTAACTTTTTTTTAATGACTGCACCTTTTTTGACACACCTCCCACCAAGGGGGCTAGTCTATTCCTCCCCCTTGACACTGAGCAGGCTTGAGATTGTTTTAACCAAGAGAGCAGGGCTCTGCAAACTATTTCTGTAAAGAGCCAGACGGCAAACATTTTACACTGCAAACCATATGATCTCTATTGCAACTAACTCACTCTGCCATTGTAGTATGAATTGTAGTATGACAGTACATACATGATTGGACATGACTATGTTCCCATAAAACTTTATTTTCAAAAAAGACATAGCAGATGGATTTGGCATTGGGCCATAGTTTGCTGATCCCTGCAACAGAAGAAGAGATGCTTTGTGACTTCTGAGACTCAGTTATAAAAGGCCATGCAGCTTTTGCCTGGGTCTCTGGGAACCTTCACTCTTAGGAAGCTCCCTCGTCGAGCTTGGCCACCGTTCTGCAGGAAGTTCAAACCATAGAGAGAGGCCATATGTTCTGTGGTCAACAGCCATGGCTAGCCCAGCCTTTGTGTCATCCCAGCCCAGGCATTGGATCTGTGAGTGAAGAAGCCTCCAGACAGTTCCATTTCTAGCCTTTTAAGTCACTCCTCAGCATTTGAGTCATCCCAGCTGAGGCCTGGACAAAAGATCCATACCATGGAGCAGAGACAAAACATCCAAACCATGCCCTATCTGAATTCCATAAAGATAATAAAATTGTTTTTATGTTGCTAGGTATGGAGGTGTAGTTTGTTTTGTAGAAATAGATAACTAGAACAGGGACTGACTAAAAATCTAAGAGCACACATTGAAGGCTAAAAATCTCACAAAAGGAAGTTGGAGTCAAATAATTCAATTGAAAATATTTATGCCTTTTTTCAAAAACAAGTTGTGCTTTTTTATTTTATTTTTTGGTGGTCTTTATAAACTAATTAAATGGTTTATAGAAATCTTGTCTCTGAAAGTGAAAAACAGTAGTTTGTTCCTTTTCTTTCTGTTGTCTATTTTGTATTTTTTTCAGTCAAATCTATTAAGAATTTGTACTCAAATTGGGCAAGAACTGCTTCAGTGATTTTTGTATTTCTGCTTGGATAAAATACAACATTGGCTAACATTTTAAAGTTTAAACTATAAGTTCTCTATCTGGGTCTGAATATACTCTATCTGTGTCTATGAATGTGTAATATTTTCTTACCTCTACATGATATTGAATATTTTTTTCTTGGTCACTTTGCCAGCTGGTACCTTCAGCCAGCAATGTAGCGCTCCCCAGCCTGGACCTCGCTTGGCCATGCTACCTGCCGCTCGAGGCACCCCACTCACTTGGCCCACCCCAGCTGAGTCTGGCTTGTATACCAGCTCAGCCCGAGGCCGTGTCAAGCACACCCCAGCAGACAGCCCCCAATATTATACTTATACCAGTGTTCGGTGGTTCCTTAGCTCTTGTCCTGCATCCAAGAAGAATGAGGATATGCTGACAGTTGAAGGGTAAGGGTGGGCAGAGAAGCCAATTTATGCTTTTTAAATGTCATCTATTTAAAGAAACTTGTAACATCTTGTTCAGATGAACAAACGAACACTCCAGTGTAGTAGTCAATCAAAAAGAATTAACTGAAGATGAAATCAGGACATTGAAACAAAATTAAAACAAAAAATTCTGAACAGGAACAAAAACATAAAGAAACACACAACAGCAAGACTCAGAAGCTCAATGCAGAAAAAGAGAGTGAGTAACAAGGCGAAAACATTTGACTTTTAACCCTCGAAAAGAAGAAAAACAAATAATACAGAAAAACTTTATTTAAATGTTTATTCTTTTGAGAAAATAAAACCTACCTCTAGATGGCCATAGTCTGATTAAATCTGGGAGGGTCTCTTTACTCCTAATTTCTTTCAAACACCAGATAAATTCTGGTGACTGAGAAAGGTCCTGAGAAAGCCCTTTGAGACAATAGCATCTTTCCAACTGTTCTGTTGGAAAACAGCAGAATAGCTATAGAGATCTGTGAGAGCTGCCTTGAGGAAGAATACCCCGGGAAGTGAAGTACTCATACTTCTATTCTGTGATCACTGATGCTGTGGTGGACATAGCAGAGGAAAAACACCAGCCCAGGGTGGTGAAATTTACTGATGAGTCTCTTAACTGACAGAGAAATGTGTAAGCTTCCTGCCTCATGAAGCTGATGCAGACAGTTTGGTTGTGTGATCTCACACTACAAAAATTGAGAAATGGGGACTAACTGTGGAGTACTGTTGTGGCCAGGTAAACATTATGGCCAACAGATTTTCTTCAAAAATGGAGGTTGCTGCTTCGAGACTTTAACAGAAATATTCCCAAAGTATCTATACATTCTGCTCTTCCTGTGTCTTAAATATGTGGTTGGCAGGCCAGGCATGTTTGCTCACACCTGTAATCCCAGCACTTTGGGAGGCTGAAGCAGGAGGATCACTTGAAGTCAGAAGTTCGAGACCAGCCTGGTGAACATGGTGAAACTTTTTTCTACTGAAAATACAAAAATTAGCTGGGTGTGGTGGTGACCAAACCTGCAATCCCAGCTCCTGAGGAGGCTGAGGCAGGAGAATCTCTTGAACTCAGGAGGTGGAGCTTGCAGTGAGTCAAGATCGTGCCACTGCACTCTAGTCTGGGTGACATATTGAGACTCTGACTCAAAAATTTAAAAATTAAAATTAAAAAATTAAAAACTAAATATGTGGCTGGCAAAATCAGTGCCTATTATGGGAATATCTGTTGTATTATGAAGGATTGAGGAAGCTTGTTCTTCTATTCATCTGTCACCACAACTGCTTCTAGAACTTGACCATGTAATTTCTGTCCTTTCTCAGAACAGCAAAGAAAGGAATAATGAACTGAAGGCTATTCGTCATTCTCAATGGACAGACAGGCACAATGCTTTTGAAATTTTACTGGATCTCCTGCCAGCATTTGTTTTATGTTTAGAGGTATAAATGGTGATGCAAGTCTCAAATGACGTAACTATACCTGGCTGAGTGTTTGTATTGCTCAGTGCATTAATGTATTTTAATTTCTTTTTTATTATTATTAATAGAGACAGGATCTCACTATGATTGCCCAAGCTGCTCTCAAACCCCTGGGTTCAAGTGATCCTCCCACGCTGGCCTCTCAAAATGCTGGGATTACAGGTGAGAGCCATCACTCCTGGCCTTGATTTCATTTTTATAATTGCTCTTAAAAATGTCCTATCTTACGAGAGGCTTTGGGAAAAAAATCTCTGATCTTTTCTTTGCAGCCAGCAGCTTCACAGTGGTATCATTAACACTAATGAAGTATTGGAAAATATTAAAACTTATCATGAATTTGAGGAAGGCATAAATCTGATAACCAAATTTGATATTCAAATAAAAGTCTCTGGGAAATTCTGCAGAGCTCAGCAAGATAACTTAGAATCTCAGCTAACCTCTGAGAGTTACTATAAGGAATCTGTGTGTTCCAACAGTGCAGCACATGACTCTGGAACTCAAAGATTTATTCTCAAAACAGTGCCTCATACCTCGCAAATGCTGATCTCTGGCACCTTCTGTCATGGGACAGCTCAAATTTAACACATCGGAAAAACACCAAGCTGACTTTAACTGAAGTGACGGAGCCAATCTTAACATGCTCTTAGCCGATTTCATTGTTGGAGAATCAACTGGGAACACAGAAAGAAGCAGAGCTTCCATCTGCATTTTTGAGGCTCTCCATGTGCCTGACATCAATAACCTAATGTTTACACATTGTTGAAAGTCCTGTGTATTCTTCCTATAATGAAGATTGAGAATGAGCACTATGAAAGTAAATGAAAGAATCTCAAATTATAGCTGAGAAAAACTTCATAGATAACTTGGTTTTGCTTAACATAAATTTTTATATAAAACATGATCTGGATTTAACTGTAGGTACACATATTAAACTCTATATAGCAAGTAAGAACTTCCTACAGGTGATTCAGAAATCATCAAAAATACCTCAAAGGATGTTTTTTAAATTTATTTTTTGTTTGTTTGTTTGTTTTTAAGATAGAGTCTCTGCTGCCCAGCCTAGAGTGCAGTGGTGTGATCTTGGCTCACTGCAACCTCCACCTCCTGGGTTCAAGCGGTTCTCCTGCCTCAGCCTCCCCAGTAGCTGGAATTACAGGCGTGTACCACCACGCCCAGCTAATTTTTTTGTATTTTTAGTCGTGATGTGGTTTCACTATGTTGGCCAGACTGGTCTCAAACTCCTGACCTCAAGTGATGCACCTGTCTCAGCCTCCCAAAGTGCTAGGATTATAGATGTGAGCCATTGTGCCCAACCCTCCTGCCTTGGCAACAGTGCAACACTCTGTCTCAAAAACAAAACAAAACAAAATGGTTTTCTTCTATATTTGCTATTTGGAGGAAAAAATGGAAGATGTACATAAGTCAGTCACTGAAGATCTTTGCCTACAGGTCTCATATTGAATACACTAGCCATTGATAATCTGCCTGTTCTGTTTAAAAAAGCACTGATTGCTCACGCCTTGAAGAACCTTGTTTCTGTTCCTCCAGAAGATAGCACTAAAAGTGCTGAATTTCATTTCTGCATACTCTCTGGTGCTGGCACTCTGGAATTTTATTTTTTAAATTTTATTTATTTATTTATTTTGAGACAGACTCTCACTCTGTCACCCAGGCTGGAGTGCAGTGGCAGTCCACTGCAGAGTGCAGAGCTCACTGCAGTCTCAGTCTCCCAGGCTCAAGTGATCCTCCCATCTTGGCCTCCTGAGTAGCTGTGACTATAGGCACACGCCACCATGCCTGGCTAATTTTTGTATCTTTTGGTGAGATAGGTTTTTGACATATTGCCCAGGCTGGTAGAATTGTTTTAAAATAATTTCAGACACAGCACTTAGTATCATTGTGGATCCAGTACTTTGAAATTAAGTTAGGTATCAGTACTTTGAAGGAATAAATTTTGGGTAGGAGTAGGAGGAATGAATATGTTTTATAAAATGTCACAGTGACTCTGACAACTCACTTTTCCCTAGTAGGACTTTTACGGATACTGTTAAAAACCTATAATGCACAGTTGTGAGAACTACCAGAGAGTGAGAGAAGCAGCTCACCCAACAAGGGTGTCATTGTAAGACCGATCTTTATCAAGTGACCCTGAAAGAACAGGTTTGAATGGAAGAGCCTGGCATCGTTGTTCTCATTCTGCTTGTTGCTGTTTGTACTGCTTTGTTGAGCTGATGTCTTCCCAAGTCATAAGCTTTTCATCGGGTTTTAGTTTCATGGTCAAGACAGAATCAGAAGCCCTGGATACAGACAGCTGATGTGTCTGGTCTCTTCTTTTTTCATAACTATGTCTACCTCATCTAGACTCAAAATCAAAACCTGAAAAACTGGCTACAACAAATGTTTTGTAGTATAAATGTTTTCTATCATATCTATAAATATGATAGAAAATACGGCTATTATTGGCCGGGGACAGTGGCTCACGCCTGTATTCCCAACACTTTGGGAGGCCAAGGAGGGCAGATCACAAGGTCAGGATTTCAAGACCAGCCTTGCCAACATGGTGAAACCCCGTCTCTACTAAAAATACAAAAAAAAAAAAAAAAATAGGCGGGTGTGGTGGCAGGCACCTATAATCCCAGCTACTTGGGAGGCTGAGGCAGGAGAATCACTTGAAACCAGGAGGCAGAGGTTGCAGAGTGGCTCATGCCTGTAATTCTAGCACTGTGGGAGGCGAAGGTGGGCGGATCACCTGAGGTCAGGAGTTCAAGACCAGCCTGGCCATCATGGTGAAACCCCATCTTTAAAAAAAAAAAAGAAAGAAAAAGAAAATATGGCCGTTATTTTTGGTTAGAAATATCAATTCTGTACAGCTTATTTCAACCTAAATAAAATGTGAACTTATAAATTTTCATTTTAAAAAACATTTTTTAATTGACCTTTACTATCACAGTTGCTGCTGAGAAGTCAGATACCATTCCAATTCTTTATCCTTTCCAGTGATTTTGTTTTCCTCTCTGTTAGGTTCTTTCTGTCCCCAATGTTCTGATATTTTATAATTATGTGCTTTGGAGTGGATCTTTACTTTGCCTGTTACGCTGGTCCCTTGAAATTGGGAATTCATGCGCTTCATTTCTTTGTAATATTGCTGAATTCTATTTTCTTTCTCCGAGTTTAGTTATTGTCTAAAGACTTAGAATCAGTAGAAAGAAATGTCTGGGTTAAGATAAGGGGTTGTGGAGACCAAGGTTTTATCATGCAGGTAAAGCCTCCAGGTAGCAGGTTTCAGAGAGAATAGATTATAAATGTTTCTTATCAGACTTAAAAAGGTCTGTTCTATCAGTAATTCCAAAAGGGAGGAGGGTAGAATGAGGCATGTCCAACAGCACTTCCCATTATGGCCAGAATAGTTTTTCAGGTTAACTTTGGAATGCCCTTGGCTAAGAAGAGGGATCCATTCAGATGGTTGAGGGGGGCTTCAAATGTTATTTTTGGTTTACAGTAGGTTGCCAGGCACATCCATTTAAACTGCTATGGTGCAGAAATGATTTTTCTTTTTTGTTGCTATCCCTACTTTTACACCTAAATTTTGGCCAACTAATGTATACTGAAAATATAAACAGAGTATACAGATTCCAATGATGAGTTACTTTGTTGATAAAGAAGGTCGTAAGTAAAAAAAAAAAAAATCCTACTGAGAAAAAAAGCGAAAAAAAAAAAAAAAAAAAGAAGAAGAAGAAGCTTGTGGGTGAAGTGTTAGCAAAAACCTTTTCTTTCCTACATGAAAATGTGACTTTTGGACAACTTTCTCTTTTCAACTGGCAACCTGATAAGGACTGTGATATTGTGATATAATAAGAAATATATATTTGGTCTTCATCTCCAGTTTCTGGTACAGAGATTCTAAAATTCTTGTAACTTCCTGAGTGACAAGAGTGACAGAAGCATTTTTATGTTAAAATGGTTGGCTTTTATCCCTGATTCCAGGCACACAGCTTCTAAAACCCTTGGAATTTTCTGAGTAATCAAGGTGACAGGAGCATCTTTTGTTATTTACAACAAGCTCCTTTCGAGGGTACATGAAGTATGTTAATTAGATGACTGGTGGCTGGAAGCCCATAGATAGCTTCAGGATGGGCACTGGTTGCCAGAGGAACCAAACATGTGATTAGAGGATTGGAACTTTCAGCCCTACTCACCATTGAGGGAGGGGAGAGAAAAGCTGGATTGAGTAAATCACCAATGGCCAGTGATTTAAGCAATTACGCCTATGTAATAGAACCTCCATAAAAACCCTAAACAAAGGGCTTCAGAGAGCTTCCGAGTTGGCAAACACATTGAGCCACTGATGAAGCCATCCCCACAGGGTTGACAAGGATTCATGCTGAGTTCTGGGCAGAAATTACATCATAATTAAGCCTAAATAAGTCTGCACTTTGGCTCACTTCCTTGTTGCTGAAAGTCAATAGCACTGGATACTGTCCATTTGCATCCCCATTGTTCCTATAGACGGGATCACCAATGTAAGAATCATATGGCTTTTGTTTAAAGGTTGCTTAAGATGTTTTCAGATCCCAAACTCCAGTGAAACCACTGACACCAACCAGTTTGAAGACCCCCACAGAGAAATAGAATCAGCATGAGAATACAGCTTCTTTACCCTGCATTCGTCAACCAATCAATAATCTTCACACCTAGCCTACTCTAAAACCCTTAAAATCTCCAGCCCCAGGCTGGTCGTGGTGGCTAATGCCTGTAATGCCAGGACTTTGGGAGGCCCAGGCGAGTGGATCACCTGAAGTCAGAAGTTCAAGACCAGCCTGGCCAACATGCTGAAACCCCCATCTCTACTAAAAATACAAAAATTAGCTGGGCATAGTGGTGGGCATCTGTAATCCCAGCTACTCTGGAGACTGAGGCAGGAGAATTGCTTGAACCCAGAAGGTGGAGGTTGCAATGAGCCGTGATGGTGCCACTGCACTCCAGCCTGGGGATGAGTGAAACTCCAGCTCAAAACAAAAACAAAAAACCCTCAGAATCCCCAGCCCTAGACTCCTTGGAGAGATGGAGTTGAGGTTTCCTCCCATCTCCTAGTTTGGAGACCCTACAATTAAACCTCTTTCTCTGCTGCACCCTGGTGTCTCTGCCTAGTGACTTGCTGTGCACAGGGCGCAATGGACCTGCTGCAGTTACACTGAGAGGGTGGGGTGCCCAGGGAGGGCACTGGAGCTCTGCACATCTCCCCTGTTTCACACCTTGTCCTCTGCCTGTTCATCTTTATCCTTTATAAATAAACTGCTAAATGTAAGTATAATGATTTCCTGAGTTCTACAAGCCCTTCTAGCAAATTATTGAACCTGAGAAGAGGGTCGTGGAAACCCCCAATTTATAGCCATTAAGGCAGAAATATGGGAGGCTCAGACTTGTGATTGGCATCTGAAGTCCTGTGGATCCAGTACTTTGAAATTAAGTACTTGTGAGACTGGGCCTTTTCACCTGTGCCATCTGATACTAACACCAGGTAGCTAGTGTCAGAATTGAATTGAATTGAATTGTTGGACAACCAGTTGGTTTCTGGAGAGAAGGAGAATTTGATGGTTGGCATGGGGAAAAAAAACCCCACATATTTGGTGTCAGACATGTTCTATGGGTAAAAAAATTGATTGTAGTAATACAGTTGCCCTTTGAACAAGTTGGGCACAGCCCAAAATATGCCATTTTGGCATATTGATTATTTGGAGCTAAAGGTAATTGAGAACCAGCTGATTCCAGGAAAGCTCTTTATCTCCCCCTCAACTATCCAAAATAAAGTCTAAATTTCCCTTTTGTAAAGAAATTTTATATTTACAAAGGAAATTTTCATTAGTAAAAATGTCTATACAAGGAAGAGAGCTACTCTCTGGATCTGAGAGGCTTAGCTGCATATGGCAAACTTTATTTATCACACATTTCCTCTTCTCCCTTTCCCATGATTTGCCTCCCCCTCAACAGAAGCCTCTAAACCCCTATTTCTTTCTGTAGCTCAGGATGATATGTAAGTCTCAATCATCTGGCTGCCTCCTTGAGTTTCATATTTTTGTGAAATTCCCATGAATATGTATGTAATTAAAACTGTTCTTCTCCTGTTAATCTGTCTCTCAATTTAATTCTCAGGCAGTCACAGAACCTGGAAGGGTAAAAGGAAGCATCTTTTCTCCCCTACAATTATCTTGTGAATAAGATTATTGAATCCAGATTAAGAAAACTGTGAGGCCAGGCACAGTGGCTCACACCTGTAATTCCAGCACTTTGGGAAGCCGAGGCAGATGGATCACCTCAGGTCAGGAGTTCAAAACCAGCCTGGCCAACATGGTGAAATCCCACACTGGTCATGGTGGTGCATGTCTGTAGTCCCAGCTACTCAGGAGGCTGAGGCAGGAGAATCACTTGAGCCTGGGAGGTGGAGGCTGCAGTGAGCTCAGATCACACTACTGCATTCCAGCCTGGAAGACAGAGTGAGGCTCCATCAGAAAGAAAGAAAAGAAAGAAAGAAAGAAAGAAGGACAGAAGGAAGGAAGGAAGGAAGGAAGGAAGGAAGGAAGGAAGGAAGGAAGGAAGGAAGGAAAGAAAGAAAAAGAAAGAAGGCAAAAAGCAGTAATTATAGGAGCAGTGTGAAAAAGAGGTAAGAACGTCCCCTAGGCTGACCAAAGCCCATGCACCACTGCATCCCCATGCACTACTGCATCCCCGCAGCCAGCACCTATATGTTGCCACCATTGCCCCCAATGCCCAAGAGAAAGGCTGAGGGGAATGCCAAAGAAGATAAGGCCAAGATAAAGGACAAACCACAGGGAAGATCCACAGGCTGCCTGCTAAGCACGCTCTGACAAAGCCAGAGCTGAAGCCTAAAAATGCCCCTACAAAGAAGGGAGAGAAAGTATCCAAAGGGGAGAAGAGCCAACACTGACAAAAAGGTGAATAACCCTGCATAAAATGAAGATGTCAGAATAGAGAAGGCACAGAAAACCGAAGGTGCTGGAGATCTCAAGTGAAGTATGTGCATTTTTGGTAAATCTGTACTTCTGGTGACTGTACAGTTTGAAATACTATTACAGCCCAATGGAATCTTCTTGCTCACTGCACAGAAAAGCCCATACAATGAGACAGCATGTTGCAGTAGAGAAAGAGTTCAATTATTGCAAGGCAGCTGAGTGGATGGACAGGAGACATTTCTCAAATCCACTTCCCTGAAAGCTTGGAAGCTAGGCACAGTGGCTCACATAATTTGGTTTTTTAAGCATAATTTGGCAGGCAGGGGGCTAGGGAATGAGTGCTTCTGATTAGCTGAGAATAGAATCAAATCATAGGCATGTCCAAAACAGTATTTATTTGTCGAGTCAATCTCTGGGTGGGGTGTCACAGGACTGGTTCAGTTAGTTCCTTGGTATGAGTCACAGGTCCAGGTGGACTCAGCTAGTTGCCAGAATGCAAAAGTCTGAAAAATATCTCAAAAACTAATCTGAGGTTCCACAATAGTAAATTATCTATAGGAGCAACTCAGGAAGTTACAAATCTTGTGATCTCTAACTACATCACCTCTGAGCAGTAAAGAACTATAGAAAAACCAAGCTAGGGAACAACACCATGCCCACATTTTAGAAAAATTCAGGTCCCTCCCATAATCTTAACCTTGCGGCCTTTCATTAGCCTTACAAAGGTAGTTTAACTCCCCAGATGGGGTCAGTTTGGGGAAGGACTATTACCATCCTTTCTTCAAAGTTAAACTATAAGCTGGCTGGGTGAAATGGTTTATGTCTGCAATCCCAGCACTTTGGGAGATCAAGGTGGGGAGATCACTCAAGCCCAGGAGTACAAGACCAGCCTGGACAGTATAGTGAGACTCCATGTCTACAAAAAATTTAAAAATTATCTGGGTGTGTTGGCACATGCCTGAGTCTCAGCTACTTGGGAGACTAAGGTGGGAGGATCATTTGAGCCCAGGAGGTTGAGGGTGCTGTGAGCTATGATGGTGCCACTGCACTCCATCCTGGGTGACAGAATGAGACTCTGTCTAAACAACAACAACAACAACAACAACAACAACAAAACAAAACAAAACTATACCCTAAATTCCTCCCATAGTTAGCTTGGCCTATGCTCAGGGAGAGGGAAGGCAGTTAGCATGTGAGGTTAGAAGCAAGATGGAGTCAGGTGAGATTTCTCTCACTGTTATAATTTTTGCAAAGGAGGTTTCAATATGACTTTTTATGAAGTTTTATAAAAATGCAGAATGCTATTTTACTTTTTTTAAAGTTATGTTGTTAGTACACAAAACACTTTATTTTACGGGGAGAAAGGGGTATATGTCACTAATAGAATGTCTCTGAATCTGGATTGATTGATGTGGGGAAAACACCTTTCCATACTAGTTTTGAGAGACTTCCTCTTGGCTCCTAGAAGAAGAAATTTATTAATGTTGACACACATGGCCACCTTAGCATAAACACCCTGTAGGTGCGGAAAAACTAAAATTAACTTTTATGTCCTCTCCCTTTCTACCTTCAGCATTGACTTTAACTCCTTTAAACCCAAACAACTGTTGGGACCTAACCTCCAATAGTTCGTTACCAGTCAATCTGGATTTTCTAGTGATGCCACTGATATGGTACCCCTCAAAAGAGTGGCAGTTCCATTTGTAGATTGTGGATCTTCGGATATATTCTGCCATTTTCATTTCATTTCCTGATAGTCAGGGTCTGTTTGTAAAAACGTGTTAAATAACATGCTAAATGTGGAATGTGAACCATCAGTTGAAACTTTCCCTATTCAGAGCATCAAAGATTTCATTGGTTTTTATAGTGGCTTTCTGATTTTGATGGTCCACTGAAGGAGGAAGTTTGAACGTTGTTGTATACTATTAACAATTGTCTGCCCATGTCCTACCTGAAATATTATAATTGTTTATGAAGAGTATCTTTAATAAAGCTGGATACAGTTTGACTTGAGAAAAAATATTAATTATAAGAGCAAACACTGGAAACAACTGTAGGAAAATGGTTATGCTAATTACAATATAATATTTAAATTAAATCTTATTTAATTAAGTAAGTTACATTAAAAAGATAATCATTAATCTTAAAAAGCATTAATGTAATGTTTACATAATAATATTAAGTGAAAAAAGCCAAAAAAGTGTATACATTTTACATATGCACATATCAACTATATTAAAAATACACAAAGAAAAAAGTCTGGAAATAACATAATCCACCAATTCTAAAGATGCATTCTCCACCAACACACACATTCTCTAAAATTGAGTCACACTGTACACCAATGCATTAAATGTAGTGTCCTGTTTTTTCTAAAAAGCTATTGTAATATTTGAATTTCCATTAATGTATTACTTTGTTTTTTTTTTTATGTCAACAAGAGTATCTGGGTAGTGAGATTATGGGTCATTCTATGGTCTTCTTTGTTCTTTACTATGTTTTTTTGAAACTATATTTAAAATTTTTTAGGAGATTGCAATGGGAAACTTTAGGCAAATTCCCTATTATTAACATGTAATGATTTGTTTTCATTTTCTTTTAGTAAGATGATGGAGCTAATGAATTATGATTATTAAGAAATTTTTGATAGGATTTGTGTGATCCTTCCCAGACTCTGTGTGTGTGTGTGTATGTGTGTGTATTACAATATGGAAAGAATATGTGCAACATTTGCAGAACATTTGTAAGAAGTCACACTCTTCTTTGTTAATGCTTACTTGCTATTTAATGATTCTGTTACAAAACAGATAGAGGCCAGGCACGGTGGCTCACACCTGTAATCCCAGCACTTTGGGAGGCTGAGGTGGGCGGATCACTTGAGGTCAGGAATTTGAGACCAGTCTGGCCAACATGGCAAAACCCCATCTCTAGTAAAAATACAGAAATTAGCTGGGTGTAGCAGTGCACACCTCTAATCCCAGCTACTCAGGAGGATGAGGAATGAGAATCGCTTAAACCTGGGTAACACAGGTTGCAGGGAGCAGAGATCATGCCATTGCACTCCAGCCTGAGGGTCAGAGTGAGACTCTGTCTCAAAAAAAAAAAAAAGAAAAGAAAAGAAAACAGATGGATTTAGTGCTTAGCTCCTTAGCAGTTTCACTGAGGAAATAAAATTGTGTGTGGATGTCACCACTGAAATTAATGCTAACCTTACATGAAGTTAAGAAAGTTATGATGCAATATGATCAAATGCACACAGTATTTGCCTTGTGGAAGTGTTAAGAGAGATCAGAAACCATCTCCCCCTTCCTTGGAGCAGTCACTGGGTACTGCCAGGGAAGTATGACTGTGGGTTGTATGCAAACTCTATTCAGCTGTAAGACCATGTAAGCCATATCAGCCTGGGGAGCATGGACTACACATATACTTGAGATACTCTCAACTTGGGCAGGTTATATAATATATAAATGGTAATATATAAATACTGTGTAGCATTGTCTTGGATAGGAAACAAAGGAACAATAAAAGCCTTTCAACTGGTTTTTGCTTTTTGGTGTCCTAAAATTTCCATTTCATTTCATTTGAAAGCCTAGTCCAGAGACTGGAGATTCTCTTTATTTTTGGCAAGGTTCTAAATGGCTAAGTGATGTAAGAAGAAGGGAATCCTAGTACACTGTTGGTAGGAATGTAGATTGGTACAGCCATTATAAAAAACAGTATGGAGGTTCCTAAATAAATTAAAATTAAGGCCAGGCATGGTGGCTCAAGCCTGCAATCCTAGCACCTTGGGAAGCTGGGGCTGGCTGATTGCTTGAATCTAGGAGTTTGGGACCAGCCCAGGCAACATGGCAAAACCCCATCTCTACTAAAAATATAAAAAATTAGCCAAGCATAGTGGTGCGTGCCTGCTGTCACAGCTACTCAGAAGGCTGAGTTGGGAGAATCACCTGAGCTCTGGAGGTTGAGGCTGCAGTGAGCCAAGTTTGCACCACTGCACTCCAGCCTGGCAACCAAAGTGAGACCCTGTCCCAAAAAATAAAACTACCATATGACCTAGCAATTCCTCTTCTGGGTTACATACCCGAAGAAGATGAATTCACCATCTCATAAAAATATCCGCACTCCCATGTTCATTCACAATAGCCAATATATGGAAACAATCTAAATATCATCAACAGACAAAGAAACTGTGAATGGACAAAGAAACTGTGTGTGTGTGTGTGTATATATATATATATATATAATGCAATATTATTCGGCCACTGAAAAGAAGGAGATCCTGTCATTTGCCACAAGATGGATGGGCTTCAGAGGACATTAAGCTAAGTGAAATAAGCCAGACACAGAAAGAAAAAAAATACTGCTTGATCTCATTTATATGTGGAATCTTTAAAAAAAAAAAAAAAACAAAACTCAAATATATAGAGAGTAAAACAGTGGTTACCAGGGGTTGGGTGGGAGGAGAGGAAATGGGGTTACATAAGTCAAAGGTTACAAAGTAGCAGGTGAGTAGGATGAACAAGTCTAGCGATCTAATGTGCATTATAAGGACTAAAGTTAATAAAATTGTATTGGATTAAGGATTTTTGTTAAATAAGCAGATTTTAGCTGCACTTATCACACACAAAAAAGTAACTATGTGAGATTATAGATATGTTAATCTGTTTCACAATAGTAACCATTTTCCTATCCATATGTATCCCATAATATTGTTGTAAACCTCAAAATACACAATAAAATTTATTTTAAAAATAAATGGCTAGGGCTGGGCACGGTGGCTCATACCTGTAATCTCAGCACTTTGGGAGGCCAAGGCAGGCAGATCACTTGAAGTTAGGAGTTCACAGCCTGGTCAAGGTGGCGAAACCTGTCTTTACAAAAACATACAAAAATTAGCTGGGTGTGGTTGTGGGCACATAATCCCAGCTACTTGGAAGACAGAGGCGGGAGAATCACTTGAACCTGGGAGTCAGAGGCTGCATGAGCCAAGATGCATCACTGCACTCCAGCCTGGGCAACAGAGTGAGATTCTGTCTCAAAAAATAAAATAAATAGCTAGGTAATTATCCCGATATCATTTATTTACTCATCTTTTCCACACTGATTTAAAATGATGCCTGAGTAATATACAAAACTCTCATATGGGCATTCTATTTTTAGACTCTCAATGCTCTTCCTTTGAAGTATAGATTTCTGCATAATACACCAAACTGTTTTAATCATTGTAACTTTGTGATTAAATATCTAATTAGGTCAGTGTATTGGTTATCTATTAGTGCATAACAAATTACCCTCCCAAATTCAGCAACTTAAAGCAACATTTATTTATGTCACATAATTTTTGAGGGCCAGGAATCTAGGAGCAGCTTAGCTGGGTGGCCCTGGCTCAGGAGTTCTTATGGGGTTGCAGTTAAGGTGTTGGTAGGGGCTGCAGGCATCTCAAGGCTTGACTGAGGCTGAAAGATTCACTACTAACCTCACTCCTGTTGTTGTTGGCAGGCATCAGTTCCTCGCTTGATGTTGGCCAGAAGTTTCAGTTTCTTGCCTTGCAGACTTCTTCATAAGGGCTGCTCACAACGTGGCAGCTTGCTTCCTCCAGAGTGAGAGGACAAAGAGAGACACTGAGACTGGGAGAGAGAGCGAGACTGCACATGCCCAAGATAAAAACCACAGTCTTTTTTAACCTAATCCCAGAAGTGATGTTCCATTACTTCTATCATATACTATTGGTCACACAGACCAACCCTGGTTTAATAAAGTTGCCAGATTTAACAAATAACAGTGTATTTCCAGTTAAATTTGATTTTCAAATAAGCAATGAATTATTTAGTACAAGTATATTTCATGCATATAAACATATTTGAGACATACCAAAACACTATACATTGTTTAACTAAAATTTAAATTTAACTGGGCATCTTATATTTAATCTGGGAACTCTACCCTGGTACAACATAGGAGGGATACTCCCTGGTGTGAAAACCAAGAGGCAGAGATCATTTGGGGCCATGCTGCAGGCTGGCTGCCATAGTCAAATCATCCCTTACCACTATTTTTGTGGAGTCAATTTGACATAATTACTCTTACAGTTGGACTAAAAATCAAGTCAAGTTACCAAAAAAAAATGTAATTATAGTTTTTGTTGGGATTTCATTGAATCCATAGATTAATAGAGAAAAAATGGATATAAACCAGGTGTGGTGGCTCACGCCTGTAATCCCAGCACTTTGGGAGGCTGAGGCAGGCAGATTACCTGAGGTTGGGAGTACAAGACCAACCTGACCAACATAGAAAAACCCTGTCTCTACTAAAAACACAAAATTAGCCAGGTGTGCTGGCACATGCCTGTAATCCCAGATACTGCAGAGGCCGAGGCAGGAGAATTGCTTAAACGCAGGAGGTTATGGTGAGCCAAGATTGTGTCATACCAAGATTGCACTGAGCCAAGATCATGCCATTGCACTCCAGCCTGGGCAAGAAGAGCAAATCTCTGTCTCAGAAAGAAAGAAGAAAAACAGAAAAGGAAGGAAAGAAAGAAAGGAAGGACATAAAATGGAATTTTCTGATCAATCCTTTTATTTTATTTATAAATAAAAGAGGTTTAATTAGCTGATGGTTCTGCAGGCTGTACAGGAAGCATAGCTAGGGAAGTCTTAGAAAACTTACACTCATGGTAGAAGGTAAAAGGGAAGCAAGGCATGCCTTACATGGCTGGAGCATGAGAAGACAGTGAAGGGAGAGCAGCTACATACTTTTCTTATATTTTTTATTCATTTATTTTTTAAATTGTACTTTAAGTTCTGGAATACATGTACAGAATGTGCAGGTTTGTTGCATAGGTATACATGTGCCATGGTGGTTTGCTGCACTTATCAAACCGCCATCTAGGTTTTAAGCCTCACATGCATTAGGCATGTGTCCTAATGCTCTCCTTCCCCTTTCCCCTTACCCACGACAGGCCCCAGTGTGTGATGTTCTCCTCCCTGTGTCCATGTGTTCTTACTGTTCAACTCCCACTTATGAGTGAGAACATGTGGTGTTTGGTTTTCTGTTCCTGTGTTAGTTTGCTGAGAATGAAGGCTTCCAGCTTCATTCATGTCCTGGCAAAAGACATGAACTCGTTCTTTTTATGGCTACATAGTATTCCATGGTGTATATGTGCCACATTTTCTTCATCCAATCTGTCATTGATGGGCATGTGGGCTGGTTCCAATACTTTGCTATTGTAAATAGTGATGGAGTAAACATATGTGTGCATGTGTCTTTATAGTAGAATGATCTATAATCCTTTAGAAACATACCCAGTAATAGGCTTGCTGGGTCAAATGGCATTTCTGGTTCCAGATCCTTAAGGAATCACCACACTGTCTTCCACAATGGTTGAACTAATTTATACTCCCACCAACTGTATAAAAGCATTCCTATTTTTCCACAGCCTCACCAGCATCTGTAGTTTCCTGACTGTTTAATACTTGCCATTCTAACAGGCATGACATGGTATCTCATTGTGGTTTTGATTTGCATTTCTCTAATGACCAGTGATGATGAGCTATTTTTCATGTTTCTTGCCCCCATAAATTTCTTCTGAGAAGTGTCTGTTCATATCCTTTGCCCAGTTTTTGATGTTTTTTTTTTATAAATTGTTTAAGTTCCTTGTACATTGTGGATATTAGACCTTTGTCAGATGGGTAGATTGCAAAAATTTTCTCCCATTCTGTAGATTGCCTATTAACTCTGATGATAGGCTTTTTTGCTGTGCAGAAGCACTTTAGTTTAATTAGACCAATTTTGGCTTTTGCTGCAATTTCTGTTGGTGCTACACACTTCTAAACAACCAGATCTCATGAGAACACCCTCACTATCACAAGAACAGCAAGCGAAATGTCCATCCCCATAATCTAGTCACTTCCCACCACGTCCCTCCTCCAACACTGGGGATTACAATTTGTCATGAGATCAATCCTTTTATGTTCTCTATTAAGTTTTATATATTTTTTTTAATTTTTTATTGGATTATAGGTTTTGGGGTACATGAGCAGAGCATGCAAGACAGTTGCGTAGGTACACACATGGCAGTGTGCTTTCTTTTCTTCTCCCCTTCACCCACATTTGGCTTTTCTCCCCAGGCTATCCCTCCCCACCTCCCCCTCCCACTGGCCCTCCCCTTTTCCCCCCAATAGACCCCAGTGTTTAGTACTCCCCTTTCTGTGTCCATGTGTTCTCATTTTTCATCACCCACCTATGAGTGAGAATATGTGGTGTTTCATTTTCTGTTCTTGTGTCAGTTTGCTGAGGATGACGTTCTCCAGATTCATCCATGTCCCTACAAACGACACAAACTCATCATTTCTGATTGCTGCATAATATTCCATGGTGTATATGTGCCACATTTTTCCAATCCAATCTATTATCAATGGGCATTTGGGTTGATTCCAGGTCTTTGCTATTGTAAACAGTGCTGCAATGAACATTCGTGTACATGTGTCCTTAAAGTTTTATATTTTTATTCATCTAGGTCCTGCTTACTTCCTGTTAGAGTTTGTTGTTATTGTTGTTTTGATTTGTGATCAAAATAATTTTACATGTGATATTTTGAACTGGTTGTGGTTGGAATGTAAGAATACTATTAATTTTTTTTTTAGGTTTTATATCTTTATTCAGATGTGATTCAACTGTTGAATAAAGCCCTTTTAGCATTATAAAATCCAATGTTTTGAAATGTTTTTTGCTCAGCAATACAGTTGTATTTTACATCTTTTATAATCCTGAAGAGATTCTCTTATTTGGAGTTTTCATGCATTCAGGTATTTGGCATGATGCCTGATGTGATCAGTAATAAAGGTTGCAATGAAGTAGTAGCTATGATCATAACCGTCTTGTAATCTAAAAACAACAGGGATTTTCTTTTCTGTACAGGCAGCTATGAAGTTATCAGGGAGTAACTGTCCATCTAAAAGAAACTGGTCATCTTTTCCTTGATCAATTAGTATGTCCAGCTGAGAACCTGGATAGGATTTCACAAGATGGGTAGCATCATATGCCTTCCATTTACTTTGATCTGTTCCCAAATATCCACTAAAGGCTTTTTTGCCCCAGCGACAGAGTAAAGGGTTGCAAATTGGCGCAAATGCTGACACAGATTTGTATTTTCCAGGATTTTTCAAAGCACAGATCAGAGCTCCATGGCCTCCCATGGAGTGGCCAAAAATAGATGTCCTTTGGGGATCCACTGGAAAATTGGCATTTATGAGTTTGGGAAGCTCCTCCGTGATGTAAGAGTACATTCTGTAGTTGGTTTTCCAAGGATCTTCGGTGGCATCAACATAAAACCCAGCACCAGTGCCAAAGTCCCAGCTCTCATCTTCTCCTTTAATATTGCAGCCACAAGGGCTGGTGTCTGGAGCAATGACAACAAGACCATGTTCTGAAGCAGCTTGATGATAACCAGATTTTGATATAAAATTTTGTTCTGTGCCAGTTAAACCTGAGAGCCAATACAGCGCTGGGCACTTTCCAGTTTCTGCCTTTGGTGGGAGGTAAACAGCAAATTTCATTTTGCAGTTCAGTTCAACACTGTCATGTTCAAAAACTTTCTGCAATCCCCCAAAGCACTTGTTGCTGGAAATCTGCTTCAATGCCATTCTTCTCCTGTCCAATTGTTGACTGCTTTTTGCTCAAACCAAAGGGTAGACGATGCTCCGGCAGCAGAGTTACCAGCAGACACACAAGAATACTATTAATTTTTATGTACTGTTTGCAATGACTGCCTTAGTGAATACTCCTGTTATTTCTAATAACTTTTAAGTTGATTCCCTCAGGCCCCCCATATATATATGATAATGTCATTTGCAAACCATGACAATTTTACCACTTCCTTTTCTTCTTTTCTTTTCTTTTTTTGAGGCAGATCTCACTTTGTCACAAGGCTGGAGTGCAGTGGCTGGATCTCAGCTCACCGCAACCTCTGCCTCCTGGGTTCAAGCAATTCTCCCACCTCAACCTCCTGCGTAGCTAGGATGACAGGCACGCGCCACCACGTCCAGCTAAGTTTTGTATTTTTAGTAGAGACGGGTTTCACCATGTTGGCCAGGATGGTCTCTATCTCTTGACCTGGTGATCCGCCCACCTCAGCCTCTCCAAGCGCTGGGATTACAGGCATGAGTCACCGTGCCCAGCCCTTCACCTCCCTTTCAATATTTAAACCTCATATTTTGGTTTTTTGACCGATTATACTATCAAACAATTATAATTTCTATGAAAAAATCTGGGACTAGGACAAAATCTTTTGAATTGGGGAAAATAATATATAGGAAAACTATTTTACGCATTTTATTATTTAGATGGAGGCTTAATTGTGGTGTGATGTTTCCAAACTACCCTCTCCAAAAGCTTAGAACCAAAATTTTCCACTTAAAAAACTTTCCAGAATTGTGGTTTGTCTAAATATTCCATATCTGCATTGCTTTGAAAGAACTTAAAACTAAGTCCAGATTCCAGGTACAGCCTGACTTTCTTCTTACCATTTCAGATACAAATTCAAGTGGGACTTTTCAGAGGGCTTCAGACATATAATTATCCCAAATAATTTATTAAATAAAAGCGTATCCCAAAGAATTTATTAAATAAAAAGCTTTGAATCAGGAAAACAAGAACCTCAAGTTATATAAGGGTGAATCTCCTGCAAATCTAGAGAACAGCTGCCAGCACAAAAACAACATAACCTCAGCTTTCAGAGGAATATTGCAGCCTTCACCAGGCATTGGCTTCTGTTCTTTTACAACAGTTTGTTAACGCTCTCTTGAGCAGTGGGAGTGGCAGATTTTTCACAAGGGAAACTAGGGGTGGCAATCTGGCAGGAAGGGGAAGCTAGAGGACTTACCTCAAGGCTACTCCTGCATAGTAAATAATGTGCGTTCTAAACATGCTTTTAATTTTTTTTTTTTTTTTTTTTTTGAGACAGGGTCTCACTCTGTCACACAGGCTGGAGTGCGGTGCTGCGATCTTAGCTCACTGCAGCCTCTGCCTCCCAGATTCAAGCGATTTTCCTGCCTCAGCCTCCAGAGTAGCTGGGCCCAACAGATGCATGCCACCACACCCATGGGTTTGTTTTTTGTTTTCTTTTCTATTTTTAGTAGAGATGGGGTTTTGCTCTGTTGGCCAGGCTGGTTTCGAACTCCTGGTCTCAAGTGATCTGCCCACCTCGGCCTCCCAAAGTGCTGAGATTACAGGTATGAGCCACTGTGCCTGGCCAAAAATATGCTTTTTTTTATAATTATAAACTTTTGTTTATGTATTAATTACGTTTCTGGAGGGGGTTATGGGGTTTATGAAAATTGGTAGAGGGAGCTAAAGCTCTCCCAGGCCATTCCTTCCCCTTGCTAATGCTATAAAGTACTGTTCTAAATTGTTGGAGAGAAGATTTCAAACGCTATCACAATACACACATGCAAACATACACAAACCGAAGGTAACTATGTGAGGAGATGGATATGTTAATTTGCTTGACTGTAGCAATCCTTTCACTGTGTTTATGTATATCAAAACATCATGTTGTACTAACTTAAAATATACACTTTTTATTACAAAAATGAGACAAAAATAAATTGTACAGAAATATAAAGCTTAAAAAGTACAATTCTTGCCCTCAAAATGACATATACTCTAAACAAAATGGTAGGGCACAAGGAGAAGGCAAGGCATGAATCAAAGAAAAAGACTGAGGTAACTGCCGATTATGGGCATAGTATATGACTAACTATTCCACCTCGAGGTTACAAATGAAAACATCGATGTCTAGGGCTAAGTTGATTTTAAATTCTGACTTAACACTTTGTTGATGATGGCAAAAGACCTCTATGGACGTGGGTGCAGGAAGAAGGAAAGAGAAGTATCTTTTTCCTAGCACCCCTAGAAATGAGGTCCTTAAACTCTGGTGAGTCCAGAGAGGTACCTTGTCTCAGCACATAGCTAATTATGTAGCAGCTCTTTGGGAAGAGGGGTTTCAAATCCTCCAGAGAGTTCAACTTAGGTCTGGAGACTGAAAACAACCCAGGTGGAGCAGCTTCAATTCAGCACTTACTGTGTAAACATGTTATAGGCACTATATTGGGGATAAAATTAGATAAAATATTCTCTATTTTCAGAGTCGATAGAAGAAGTTTTCCTTTCTGCCACCTCACAGTCACACTAAGGATCTTACCTGTGCATAATCATTCAGAAGGATCCACCAAAACAACTGGGCTTGCATTTTCCAGAAGCTTCTTATCCTTGAGATTGTGTGCCCCTTATGAATGGAGTACAAACAAATGACAACAACAAAAAATGTAGAAGATGCTCTGGCCCATTCTTTTTCCTTTTTTTCCCCTAGAGACAGGGCATCACTGTAGCCCAGGATGGAGTGTAGTGGTGCAAACATGGCTCACTGAAGCCTTTATCTCCCAACTCAAGCAATCCTCCCACCTCCCGGCCTCCTGAGTAGCTGGGATCACAGGTGTGTGCCACCACACCTGGCTAATGTTTTAATTTTTTGTAAAGATGGGGTCTCCCTGTGATGCTCAGGCTGGTCTCAAACTCCTGGCCTTGAGCAATCCCCCCATCTCGGCCTCCCAAAGTGCTAGGATTATAGGTGTCAATCTGGACAGTTCTCTTTAACTCTCAAATGCCCACATCAGAAAAGACACTACAAATTTAAGCTGATTTTTCTATTGCTCTGTAGGTGCACTGTGTTAACAATTTTTAGCTTAATGAATGCCAACTGTGAGCCAATTTAAACCAAATAAACCAGGCCAAGTCATTCTGTTACACAGTAGATCAGAGCAAACCCCATTCTAGCCTGGACCAGTGGCATCCAAACCAGAACCCAAATGCCTGGGGAGAAAGCCCAATTTAATTAACCTTCTACCCTGAACTCTTTTTTTCTCTTTTGAGACAGCGTCTCACTCTGCTGCCCTGGCTAGAGTACAGTGGCTGATCTTGGCTCACTGCAACCTCTGCCTCCGGGGTTCAAGCGATTCTCCTACCTCAGCCTCCTGAGTAGCTGGGACTACGGGTGAACACCACCATGCCTGGCTACTTTTTTCTATTTTTAGTAGAGGTGGGGTTTCACCATGTTGGCCAGGCTGGTCTCAAACTCCTGACCTCAAGTGATCCACCCACCCTGCCTTCCAAAGTGCTGGGATTACAGGTGTGAGCCACCACACCAGGCCCCTGAACTCGATTCTATCTACCATCCCCTCCTCCAAAACTTCTTCCTCCCCAAGCCTTCTCCACCTCAAAAAATGGTAATCCCATCAACCCAGCCATTTGCTTCATCCAGAGACTTGGGAGTCATCTTTAATGGATATGCTTTCTAACTTCCCAGATCTAATGACTGCATCCTGTCAATTCTACCTCCAACTTCTCTTGAATTCATCTACTTCTCTTTCCTCTAGCATCACCCTCTCCCTTAATCTCCCTCTTAGAAAGCTGCAATAGCTTCCTAGCTGATCTGCTTACTTCCACTCTTACAGGAATCCATCAGATTCCTTAGGGACCTAATAGGTCTCTTTTTCTCCACATACCTATCTTTTCATAGCACTTATCACAATTTATTTAAATAAATAAATAAATATATATATATAGTTACATATATTTGTTTATATATACGTGTGTGTATATATATATTTATGGAATGTTTATCTCCTCAGAATTTAATTTTCCATGAAGACAAAGTTCATGTCTGATTTTCTTTTACTAAATGATTCCTAGTGCCGAACACAGTACCCATCATATAGTCAGCACCGATAAAACTTGTTGGAAGAATGAATGAATGAATGCTTTGTGGAATCCCAGCATGACAGAAGTCCTTCTGTCCACAACAGACAACTGTAATCCAGAGTCCATTCTCTTAAAAGTCTTTTTTTTTTTAACCTCAGAGCCACATGAGCCAATTCTTCAAAGAGAATGTACTTACTCCTCCAGGCTGATTATACAGTGTCCTTCTAGCAGATTGGTTTAGGAAGAAAAGAGTCAGATCTCTGATGGAGCCAGACTAGATGGAGAGAAGCCAAATGAGAAAACTCTAATGTGTTGGAAAGCTCTGAAGACAAAATGAAACAAAAATCTTAGAAGTAGAGCCTTGGAGGCATTTTTGCCATCTGGTGGCAATAATCTTAATCTGCAGGCAACCAAGCACTTTTCCCTCAGCTTTCTATATAATATGTCTCAATGTTTCTGAAATTTTACAATGATTTTAACCTTGGTGTGGGCCTCCTTTGATTTCATCATGCCCTGTATTCTAGAAATTTATGGGCACCAGTTCTGGAAAACTTTTTCAAATTCTTTTTTTTTTTTTTTGAGTCGGAGTTGCCCAGGCTGGAGGGCAGCTCAATCTCGGTTCACTGCAACCTCTGCATCCCAGGTTCAAGCAATTCTCCTGCCTCGGCCTCCTGAGTAGCTAAGATTACAGGCATGCACCACCATGTCCAGCTAGTTTTTGTATTTTTAGTAGAGATTGGGTTTCTCCATGTTGGTTAAGTTGGTATCGAACTCCCTACCTGAAGTGATCCGCCCGCCTTGGCCTCCCAAAGTACTGGGATTACAGGCACTCAGCCTTCAAATTATTTTAGTACTTTTCTTCCCAACATTTTCTCTTTCTCTTGTTGAAACTTCTATTATATTATTCAGATGTTAGATCTCTGATCTTTTAACTTGCTTTTCTTTTTTCTTCTATCTCCCATTATATCTTTTTGTACTAATTTTTGAAAGGTAATAATTTTGGCTCCATCAAAATATCACTTAACCCATTGATTAAACCAAGATAACTTTATTCCTACGGAAGTAAGGAAGAACATTAACTTGATAGGATCTTAGTAGCCTCTCAGAAGGGGCAGGGAAAAGTTGAGATATTTATCAAGTTTTGAAGTCTTGTTTAAGACAGGTCTTTCAATGCTAGGGCTTGATCAGAATTGGTTGGATAAGGATAATAGTTTAGGGTTGGTGGACACAGCAAGGATTTTGAGGTGACGGATTCAAAGACTGTTGGTGCCAGTCTTGGTGGCTCATGCCTGTAATCCCAGCACTTTGAGACGCTGCTGAGGGAGGATCACTTGAACCCAGGAGTTTGAGACCAGCCTGGGCAATACAGTGAGACCCCTGTCTCTACCAAAAATTAGCTGAGCTTGATGGTGTATGCCTGTGTTCCCAGCTGCTCAGGAGGCTGAGAAGGGAGGATCACTTGAGTCCAGGAGTTGAAGGCTGCAGCGAGCTATGATCATGCCACTGTACTCCAGCCTGAGCAACAGAACAAGACCCTGTCTCAAAAAAAAGAGAGAGAGAGAGAAAGAAAAAGAAAAAGAAAAAAGGACTCTTGGGGAGTAAACCATCACTTAATGCTATCTATTGGTAAATTTGACAGTTTGATGTTTATTTTAACAGGTTTTGGGGGAGATAAATCCCAGAATAAACAGGGTTATTTGCTTCTTTTATTGCCTCATGAAAGAGGTCCCTTTAATAGTAAAGTTTTATTTGTGAAGAGACTGAAAGAGTAATGCCTTGTAAATTTAAACAATAAACTATATGGTTTCAGTCCTTGGAAACCACTTTATTTTTCACGCTTTATTTTCTTTCCCTTCTGTTGCATTTTTTCTCTACTATAGCATTTTCCACTTCCAAGGGTCTCTTTGCTTCCCAGTATTCCTTTTTAAAGTCTCCTTTCTTTGGGAAGAGAGGAAATATAACATCTTTTCTTAGCAACAAGAATAGACAGTAGGTGTTTTTTAAACACATTTTCCTGCCATCTCCATTGCCTTGATTTCCTCTGAGTTCCATTTTGTTCATTTTGTCCTTCATGCCAGAGAAATTCCTTTATTGTCTAAAGGTGATCCTTTAGGAGCATGACTAATCACAGGCATAAAAGTATCAGTTAAATAAGATAAATAAGCTCTAGAGATCTGCTGCAGGACAATGTGCTTACAGACAACAAAAACATACTGTACACTTAACATTTGTTAAGAGGGTAGATCTCATGTTAAGTGTTCTTACCACAACAAATTAAACTAAAAGAAAGAATAGTGAGACCAATAGCAGAGATGAGGCACAGTAGGAGGTTGGGCTGATCAGTGTAGGATGATCTTATTAAACCTGAAATGTTTTCCCCGATCTTGGGCTGGAACATTTTCCCAAAGAGAAAGTTTCCAGTTTCCTGTGGGTTGAAGAGGGTAAGCCTGGTTGAAGAGAGTAAGCTTGGTTGCAGCATTCTTAAGATCTGAGTTGGAGAAGGGAGCTGGGTTGTCATTGTCTAATATTGGCTTTCGTTTAAGTCTCATTTACAGTAAAGTATCCCTGTCCTCAACGATGGCTTTTTTTTCCCCAGTCACTTTCCTCCTTTCAGAGATATGTAGCCCCTCTAATACCTAAGCTTTTCTGGAGTTCTGGGAATTGGCTTGCTCTGAGCTTCTCTCATTAATAGTTTAATGGGTTATCACTCTGCTAGATCAGTTTCCACTCTTGTCTCTGCTTTACAACTCCTAAAGTGTAGTCACTGTCATCTTCTTATCCAGTTTCTTTGTCCTTGTGGATTTATGCATTTGGAATACATTGACATTTTAGAAGACTTTGGATAGGCAGCAGTGATAAGTGAATGTGCTCATTAAAACACATTTAACTGGGAGTCTGCATTATATTCCTAAGGTCCCTTCAACTTCTAATTTTGCAATTTTAAATACATTTTAATTAAGGCAAGAGTGAGTACATAATTAGATATGATACTGGAGCAATTACAATTTCATGCATATGAGATAGAAAAAGAGAGGTAATTAGCTTTAGCTTTTCAGTAATCAGTCTAGGGGAAGCTTCATGGAAGAGGTATTTTAATAACTGAACCTGAACCCTTTCTCTGTCTTTCTCCCTTAAGAGCAGCATAGATGAATCAAAGAGAAGTTGAGGTAGCCAGCAGCAAGCTTGATCTTGATTCAGACTACAAAAACAAACTACCACCAAGATTTAGGAAAGAAGAAAAGACAATATTAAAAAGCCTGAACATCACATAGGGAGAAACTGCATGTGCCTGACTAAGGCAATGCTAACAGGAATAGAAAGAAAGCATGGATAGATATTTAGATGACATGATTTTGCATTTTTTAAAGTAATGAATCAAGGGGGCTGGATGTGGTGGCTCACACTTGTAATCCCAGAACTTTGGGAGGCCAAGACAGAGAATCACTTGAGCCTCCGAGTTCAAGCCCATCCTGGGTGACATATCGAGACCCCATCTCTACAAAAAACTTTAAAATTCACCGGACATGGTGGTGCATACCTATAGTACTAGCTGCTTGAGAAGTTGAGAGGGAAGATTTGCTTGAGCCCAGGAGTATGAGTCTGCAATGAGCTATGATTGTGCTGCTGCCTTCTGGCCTAGGTGACAAAGCAAGACCCTGACTATAAAATTTAAAAATAAATAATGAATAAAAATTGGTAAATTAATGAGTTTACTGAATACCTATAAGTAAAGAGGACACTGTACGAAATAAAATAAGAAAGAGAAACTAGGATTGTGCTCAGGAGTTAAAGATATTCTTAAATAATAAATATTTTTTATATTATTGGGTAACTTATGACTTGAGAATAACCACAAAGTGACACAGTTAATGAAAAGTTTAGACGATTTCAGTACAGAAGATGGCAGAATAGGAACAGCTCTGGAGTGCATTTACCAGCGAGAACGCAGAGGGTGAGTGATCACCACATTTTCAAATGAATTTTTACTGCTCACAGACCAGGAGATTCTGGGTGGAAAAGTGCCACAAGTCTCCAGCACGGCTGTTTCAGCCAGCGCAGCAGGTCTCCGCACAAAAACTCACACAAATCTGGGAACCGTCTCAACTGGCACCTGGAACGCCTGAGAGACACAAGTCACCCATTCAACTGAAAAAAAAAAAAGGGGCTGAAACAGGGAGCTATGTAACCTAGCTTGGTGGGTCCCACCCCCATAAAGAACAGCAATCTGAAACGCTCTGGATTGAGAGTTTCACAGCAAGCACAGCTGGACCCGGGACAGTCCAGCTCTGGTGGGGGAAGGGTGTCCACCATTACTGAGGCAGTCCACCATTACTAAGGCAGTCCACCATTACAGAGGCAGTTGCCATTACCGAAGCAGTCCACCATTACTGAGGCAGTCTGCCATTACAGAGACAGTCTGCCATTACTGAAGCAGTCTGACTATACCTCTATAAACAAAACCGCAAGGAAGTTCACATAGCAGCTGGGCAGAGCCCATGGTAGCTCAGCAACGCCTCTGCTGGCAGACTGTGACTAGGCTACCTCCTCACTGGGCAGCACATCTCTGAAAAAAGGCAGCAGCACGTCAGGAACTTATAAATAAAGCCCCACCTTCCCAGGACAGAGCACCTGGGGAAAAAAAGGTGGTTATGAGTTCCACTGCAGCAGACTTAAACGTACCAGCCCCACAGCTCTGAATGGAACAACAGAGCTCACAGCTCAGCACCTGAGCTCCTATAAGGGATAGACTGTCTCCTTAAGCAGCTTCCTAACCCCTCATATATCCAAAGAGACACCTCATAAAGAAGAGCTCAGGCTGACATCTGGGACAAAGACAACAGAAGAAACTGGCAGCAACCCTTACTGTTCTGTAGCTACTGCAGGTGATCTCCAGGCAAGCAGGGTCTGGAGTGGACCTCTAGCAGTCCTATAGCAGAGGGGCCTGTTAGAAGGAAAACTAAAAAAAAGAAAGAAAGAATTTCATCATCAATAAAAAAGACATACACTCAGAGACACCATCCGAAAGTCACCAACTACAAAGACCACAGGTAGGTAAATCCACAAAGATGAGAAGAAACCAACACAAAAATTATGAAAACACCCAAAACAGAACACCTCTCCTCCTCCAAGGGATCACAGCTCCTCACCAGCAAGAGAACAAGGCTGGATGGAGAATGAGTCTGACAAATTAACAGTAACAGGCTTCAGAAAGTGTGTAATAACAAACTTCTCTGAGCTAAAAGAACATGTTCTAACCCAATGCAAAGAAACTAAGAACCTTGAAAAAAGGTTTGATGAAATGCTAACGAGAATAAACAGCTT